GTAGGGCAGAAAATGACTTCTATACTTTTAAAATTTGCACAAAATTTAGGAGGTCTTTAGACCGAGCCAACTATATAAGCAATTAATGATTATAGATGATCTGCACCGTATGATCAATATGATATTTTACGTCACGTGAGGGGAACACTGTCACTGTAGATCTCTACCGAATTGATCTATTAATATAATTTTCTTTAGAAAATAAAATAAAATAAAAATGAGTATCCAAATTATTTCATTCAATGCAGATGAAATTATTAACAAATCATATTATGGTCCTTTTGCAACTAGCTGGTTGGTTCTATCAAATGAACAATTTTTACCATATTGTGTTGGAATGAAAGTTCAAATAGAAATGAGTGATATAAAATTTTCTCTTCAGATTATAAGTGAAAGTTCAAATCCATGTTTTCAATATGATTTAAACAAATAATCAGGCAGTAGTCATTCACCTTCTGGTGCAATAAGTGAAATGTTTAATAAACTCAATAAAAAAGGAAAAAATTATTCAGGCCTTTCTTTAATGGGATTTGATAACTCTAATATAATTGAAGAATTATTTTTTGATGTAAATTTTCAACCTTTTAAAATTAAAGTAAATGAAAAATTAGGGATCTTTGTATCACAAATTGATAGGTATTGGAACAATAGATGGAATGGAATTGGAGAAGGATTTTGCTCCTCATTTCTATGGAGGTTCAGACAACAATGATGTTTATATGTGCAAAAAATTATTAATAATAGTTGTATTATTGAAATTTATAAAGATAATTTGAAAGTAGCAGAATTTGAAGATGAAACACCATAAAATGCGTGGAAAAAGATTGGTGTTTTGGAAAATTATGATGGAAATGACCTTTTTGGAATTCTTCATGAAACATCTATTAAAGAATTTAACAAACATCATGAAAAAAATAAAATTTACTCATGTAATGATAAAATCATTGTTATACCTGCAATGTAATATACTTCATGTAGAATGCATATGAACTATTCCATTTGATTTCCAACAAATCAACAATTAAAAGAAAAAATTAAGTTCATAAATTAGGAGGATTAGTGAGACTCTATTAATGGAATGATAAGACAAGTAAATATTATCTCTCTTATATATATTTATATAAATTATATATATTTATATAAATTATGTATTTTGATTGTAGAATGGAAATATCAAGTTGCAACTATGCTTGATTATCCAACTAAATGACAATTATTTGAAAAGGTAAAAAAATTAACTAATTAACTAATTTATTTATTTATTAATACAATATAGTACACATTATAAATTTATTTATATATTCATTGTTTCTTTGCTAGGAAGTTGATAGTTTTGAGATAATTAATGGGAAACTTTTGACTGCTAAACTTATTTATTTGCCAAAAGACACAATCTTAACAATTTCAGAATCTGGTTTTCATGGCCCATTTGTTGAAGCTTATTTTGAACTCTGTTGAATTTCACTTTCTTCAATATTAGATGAATTAAAGACCAAACAGCCTTTTTCTTTGATCCAACAAGAACAAGGCCCATATCATTCCCGAGATAGTATATAATCTATTTATTATAATTGAATTGGCCAATTATTTTGTAAGAAAAAATAATTTTGTAGTCAAAGAATATTTATTATTTATTGGAGAAATTTAGAGTTATTTTTTTTATGAAGTTTTTGTGCTTTCTGGTTTTTATGATATTTGTGGAATACTCATAAACCATTATTTTTGAAAAGAAAAATTCATATTCAGATTCAACAATAATTATTGATCTTTTTTATATTAATTATTAGTAGGCTCATTAAAAAAAAATAATATTTTGAAAATTATATATATTTTTTTTAACAGATAGTAAAGGGGACAACCGGGATTGAACCAGTGACCTATCGATCTGCAGTCGATTGCTCTACCACTGAGCTATATCCCCATTTAACAAAAGAGAGAGATCATGTCACGAAGGGTCAATACACCCAGCAGGGCTATCAGCAAGAATTCCATTCTCTC